TGTTCTAACAGTCTCAAAACACCGTGTTACGTGGGAGGAATGTGCTGACCTGCTGGAGAAGGCAGGGTCTGAGCGCACTCAAGCGGCTGCAGCAGCTGGTGGCGTTTCCGGTGCAGCCCAAGATAGTGTCAGGGAGGCCAGTTACTGGGGAGGAGTATGCAGACCTGCTAGAGAAGGTGAGCGTGAGCCTTGCAGGCAAGGTGCATTTGAGAGGTGTTGCCACCACTATCACAGGAGAGGAAGGCGCTGAGCTGCTGGAGAAGATGAGACTCCCATCACACACAAGCAGCTGAGGCAGCTGGTGGCGTTGCTGGTGCAGCCCAAGATAGTCTCAGGGAGGCCAGTTACTGGGGAGGAGTTTGCTGATCTCCTCGAGAAAGTGAGATGGTGAGATGGTCACCGGGGAGGAATGCGCTGATTTACAGAAGGTGGGCTTCCCCGCGCACACAACCAGCTGCGGCAGCTGGTGGCATTGCTGGTGCGGCCCAAGATTGTATCGGCGAGGTCAGTCACTGTGGAGGAGTTTGCTGACCTGCTTGAAAAGGTGAGACTTGGTGCTGTGTGCAAGGGCCACATCCCGACAGCCGACAACAAGGGCCACATCCCGACAGCCGGGTCGGTGGTAGATTCATTCAACCGGGCCGTACAAGACAAGTGCCTCGCGCTCTACCACCACGACATGTGCCGCCTTCATCCGTTCTTGTTAGCCCTGTCTTCCCCATGTGCGCACTATCCCACCCCACCTCCGATCCCCCAGACCCTGAACGCGCTGAACAACTGGCACATCCCAACAGCCAGCTCCGTGGTCGATGCATTCAACCGGGCCGTTCAAGACAAGTGCCTCGCGCTCTACCACCAGGCCATGCGCCACCTGCTCCTGCCAGCAGACGAGGCGCTGCTGCTGGCAGTTCTTGCGGCTTTCTTTCCCCCCCACTCCTGCTCACCTCCTCTCCTCGTTCTCCCTTTCCCTCCACCCCCGCCCCCTTTCCCCCTCCCCAAGACTCTAAACGCGCTCAACAAGGGGCACATTCCAACAGCGAACCGCGCCGTCCAGGACAAGTGCCTCGCGCTCTACCACCAAGCCATGTGCCGCCTTCATGCCTGTTTCTCTCCCCTTTTTTTCCTACGTGTCACTGTCCCTTACATTTTTTGTTCAGACCCTGAACGCACTCAACAAGGGGCACATCCCAACAGCCGGCTCAGTGGTCGATGCATTCAACCGGGCCGTTCAAGACAAGTGCCTCGCGCTCTACCACCAGGCCATGCGCCACCTGCTCCTGCCAGCAGACGAGGTGGTGCTGGTAGCGGCTCACCGCAACGCCAGTGGCGAAGCCGTGGCGGCATTTGAGAGGGAGAGGTTTGGAGGGAAGAGTGTGGAGGACGCAGTTCGACCTCTGAAGGATGAGCTGAGAGAGGTGAGGGATGGGTGTATTTTGAGGCGCCTCAAAAGGTGTATTTTGCGAGCATTGAGCTGTATTTTGAGGCGCCTCAAAATACACCTCAATGCTGGTGGAGGATGCTTTTCGGCCTCTGAAGGATGAGCTGAGAGAGGTGAGGGATGGGTGAGTGTGTGTGTACATGTGCGTGCATGCGTGTGTGCCTTTGTGTGTCTAGGCGCCTGTGCGCGCATGTGTATGTGGAGTCATGTCACCAACCAGCTTTTTGGTTGTCACTGTCTGTCCATCCCCCTCTCTCCCTCACAGGAGCTGGTGAAGCTGAAACGGGAGAAAAAGTTTGCATTGGTCAAGGCGTGTGCGTGTCTGTGGGCATGTGTTTGAGCCTGTGTGTGCGTACCTGCCTGTCCCTCCCCTGACCTTCCCTCCCTCCCTCACAGGAGCTGGTGAAGCTGAAGCGCGAGAACGAGTTTGCATCGGCCAAGGCATGTGAGGGCGCGCACAGGGGGTGCGAGGAGGAGTTGGACGCTCTAGCCAACATGCGCCTGCCCTCGGTGGCCAAGTTCGATGCCCGCCTGGAAGCATGCAACCACACCGTGGAGCATGCCTGTCGCGGGCCCAGCAAGTCAGCCTACCGGGACCGGCTGAAGAAGGTGAGAGAGAGGAAAGCATACTTGGTTGTCAAAGCGGGACACCTTGGTGGATCCCTTGGCAGGGAATTTCCTGGTGGGGATTCAGTTGAGAAGAGGAGCTGGACCTTCTTGGCAACATGAGTCTGCCCTCAGTGGCCAAGTTTTATGCCCGCCTGAAAGCTTGCATTACAACCACACCATGGAGCATGCCTGGCGCGGGCCGAGCAAGTCGGCTTTAGGGACCGGCTGAAGAAGGTGAGAGGGGGGGGAGAGGGTGAGAAGAAGAAGCACAGTTTGAATTCTAAGTGCTGCTGGAGGGAAGTAGGTGAGTGAGGGGAGGAGCTGGATGCTCTGGCCAACTTGCGCCTGCTGTAAGTGGCCAAATTGGATGCCCGCCTGGAAGCTTGCAACCACACCGTGGAACATGCCTGCCGTGGCCCGAGTAAATCGGCTTACAGGGACCGGCTCAAGAAGGTGAGAGGGTGGCAAACAACTTTCGACTTCAAACCCTTCGACGAGCTTTTTTCCTCCCGCCCTGCTTTTCACTAGACGTGGATTTGCGAGCGGCCCCAGTTGTTCAAATATCAAGTTTTGAGTCGACTCAAAACTAGCCCCAGTTCTTCAAAAATCACAACCAGGGCCTTCAACTGGCCACTTCTCCTCACCACACCTTCTCCACCACTTCCCTATTCCCATTTTCCCTTTCTCTCACACAACCACCCCCCACTCCCCCTCCCTCACCAGATGTGGACTCGCTAGTGCTCCTCCCCACACCTTGGACTCGCTAGTGCTCCTCCCCACACCTTGGACTCGCTAGTGCTCCTCCCCACACCTTGGACTCGCTAGTGCTCCTCCCCACACCTTGGACTCGCTAGTGCTCCCAATTCCTCAAGGAGTACAACCGGCACATCCTCAACTGCCCATTCCTCCTTGTCGCACCCTCCTCCCTACTCCCCCTTTCTCCCACCCCCCTCCCCACACTAACTAGACCTGGACTCAAGAGCGCTCCCAATTCCTCAAGGAGTACAACCAGCGCCTCTTCAACCGGCCCATCACTCCTTACCACACCCTCTCCACATCTCCCCTCTTCCCACAACACCCCACACTCTCTCACCAGACATGGACTCGAGAACGCTCCCAATTCCTCTAAGGAGTACAACCAGCGGCTCTTCAACTGGCTGGTCATCGGCGCACCACACCCTCTTCACAACCCCCCCTTCCCCCTTTTTCATCAGACCTGGACGCGGGAGCGCTCCCAGTTCCTCAAGGAGTACAACCAGCGCCTTTTCAACTGGCTGGTCATCGGCTCGCTCGTACTCGTCGTGGTCGGCCGCTTCATGGTCAAGTGGGTCGTTGTGGAGGTGCTCGCGTGGGCGCTCTTTGTGTTCCTCGAGACCTACACGCGCATCTTCTGGTCTTTTGACTCGCTCTACCTCAACCCCGCCTGGCGCACCTTTGTCAACATTTGGGAGGCCGTTGTCTACAACCCCTTTATCGACCTTGACCTGTGAGTTCTTCACAGGCCCTCTAAGCAATACCGGTAGCAATGCTTGCAATCCTGCCAGCCGTTCAATGCCACCCCCTTATTCTCATTGTCTGCTCCTCTCCTCCTGCATTCACATCAGGTGCATTTTGAGGCGCCTCAAAATGCACCTCACTACACGCTTTTTTCTCATTGTCTGCTTCTCTCCTCCTGCATTCACATCAGGTGGTCCGTGCCGCTGCTGTGGGTGTTGCTCATCCTTATCATCATGTGTCGCTGCTACCGCTGTCGCAAGCGACCGCACACCCCGCTCCTCCCCACACACCACGACACGTTACACACGCGTAGATCAGAGTAATGGTGGTAGTGATGGTCCATACAGTAGCCATCATATGCTCCCCGGATTCGAAATGACTATGGATAGTATCTTGTTTGGCTGTTGCTATGGACTTGCATGCCTTGGCCCGTTTATTATTTCGAGAATTGAGTAAGGCTCTGCTTAGATGGCACCGGCTTTTAAGCAGATACTTCAGGTGTTGCGAACTGGTAACTCGGAAAGTTGACAATAGATACAGAAATATCTTCTTCACATCTCTCGTGAGTGCGTACATATACAGTACGCTTCTGTACATAAGCAAGAAGGGAGACTAGAGAGTAGAAAGGCAGAGACCACAAGCTGGTTCCACACACAGCCATGTACCCCTCATGCTGTTCTGGTATCTGCACATCTCAATACGGTAGTTACTGCCAAAAAACGTGATTAGGGAAAGGGCAGTGTGCAGGGCAACAATTGAAACAGAAAAGGGGGAAAATAGGGGTAAGGCAAAGATGGAATGGGCTGACACAGCAACTCTGACAGCACTTCGAACACCTTCATGGACGTTACCTGTATGCACAAGAACCATTGAAGAATGGTTGCTTGCAGTGGATTCAACGATCAACGCCAGCAGCAAAGCAGCCCAACGACCGTACCTTCCACTTTCCAATGTGATGGATGTGGTGACCGTGGTGGTGATGGTGGTGATGGTGGTGGTGGTCATAATGGTGGTGGTGGTACCCCTTGTAACTATTGTCTCGGCTAGGAAAACATTACCTTCCACTTTCCATAGTGGTGGCCGTGGTGGCCGTGGTGATGGTGGTGGCCATAATGGTGGTGGTGGTACCCCTTGTGCTTCCCATATCCAAAGTGACCCTTGTGCTTCCTCTTTCCAAAGAGGTGCATCGTGTGAGCTACGCCATGCGCCAAGGCATGGCCGATGCTGTGATGGGCCACCGCGCCATCTGCCAGTGTAACACAGTTACAAGGGCAGCATGAGGCTGGTTAAAGAACATATACACTTGCAATAAAGAACAGGCATATACCGTACCGCAAAAACGATTGCGTGCAAGAGAAGCGTGAAAACGGGAGGGAATGATCTAGGCGAGCAGCATTTGAAAAGTGACCTAACAAAATAAGAGGTCACGCAGCATATAATGTAAGATCTCATCATCTCACGGTGGTAGTGCGGGGGTGGTGGGTAGTGCGGGGGTGGCGGGTGGTGGTAGCCTGCCGGCGGCGGCGGGTAGTAGCCCGGTGGTGGCGGATAACCGGCAGGAGGCGGCGGGTAGCCGGCAGGAGGTGGTGGATAGCCGGGCGCGGGAGGGTACGGTGCCGGTGGGTAGCCGGCTGGTGGTGGATAACCGTAAGGGTACCTTGGATCTGGACGTTAGGGAGCGAGAGTCATTAGAAAGACAGCCACGAATGTTCCGTGACGCGTCAGTGCTGTGAGAAATAAGTCATGATAGCGACATCTCATCGTAGGTTGCTGGCGGAAGTAGAAGAATGTGGAAGTAAACAGGCGCATACGAATCACCACAACTTACCGTGAGACATGACGACAGTGCGCGACGCACTTCGGAAAATAAGGACTTATTAATGCGGCGTTGCTATTGCAAGCGGGCCGCAAAAGCCTGGCGAAGTCGCCTTCACTGCTGCCCGTCTAGTCCTGACGAATCCAAGAAATTCCTGAGACTGACAATGCTGCCGTGTGATATTTGTTCTGACCCTCTGGACTACGATCTTCAAGGTTGGAAAGCCTTGTCAATTTCGCTGGGTCCTCGCTGTTACCAGCCCGACGATGAAAAAATGTTTCGTTAATGCTCGCCACACCGCCAAACTGACGTTGAGATACCTGATCTACCGAAAACTAAGTCGCGACTCGCGAGGGTCGGGTAACCGCAAAGGAAGCGAGTCGGGTAACCAAGGATTAGCTCGGGTCCACTTTCGTCTACGTTCAAAATCGTACTCAGCCGTTCTACGTTTTCAACAAATTGCAGTTGAACGCACGGAACCGCAACAGGCGTACATATGATATGGGTCCCTTCAGATAAACAGACCTAAACCTACTAGAGAGCTGTGCCATACATCCGCGCACATTCAGTGCATCGAGTACATATCAAGGAGTGTTAGTCGGTCATCAACCTAGGGTAATGTTAGTACATTGGTCTAGTCTCGGCTGCACGGCTGGCAGGCGACCGCATGTCCGACCCGCCAGTCCAACACTTGGCAGGCGCGCGAGCAGTAGCGAGCCTCCTCACACGATGCACAGCAGCGAAACTCTCCTTTTCGCAACTCCACTCTTCCACACCGCGCGTTACCGCACACACGCCTCCCGCTCTCCTGAAATCGCTGTCCATGCAATGCCATCCATTTAACGAGAAATAGGTTTGCAGGCGGAATCGGAGGAGGCTCCAACCGGACGCTTTTCTCTTCGTTCGTGCAGCCGAAGATTCCGCCATCCGCCAAAACGGCTCGAGCTAAGAGCCTCTCCTCGTCAGTAATTTCCAACGCCTCGTGCTTCTCTCCTTGCGTTACAGTCACACGCCTTGCAGTCGCACGGCCAGCTCTTGACAGCAAGCGAGTGGTGTGCTGGAGTAGGGTTTCCATGGCTGCTCCATCTGTTCCGAGTGACAGGTTCGCGCCTTGGTGATTAGCGCATCCTTGAAGGTTAGACCTTCCCAACGTTCTTGCTACTTCTGCTTCTCCACCATCAGAGTCCCTAACGCCAGCTCCATCTTGGGTACTGCTCTCTAATACAGTCCGCTCCTGTTTCTTTCTCACATTCCCGGTCTTAATTTTTACGTTTTCGACTTCTGAACATGAGACCCCACCTAGTGCTGACGCCAAGCTATCCCCGCTATTAGCCAGCTCCCGCAGGTTCGCCTCGACCAGAAGCAGCCTCCCCTGGGCGACGCTCCGTTTGATTCCAAAACCATCCTGCAGACACAACCCTAATTCCCGCAGCGCATCCGGATGTCCCGCCTTAGCCGCCGCCACACACAGCAACATCCCCATTCCGACCTTCCGGTTTCCCCGCATCTTCCCCCTTCCAGAGTCCCCCTCCGCTGCGACACCCCCCCCTGCTGCGCCACCTCCCCCCGCTGCACCACCTCCCTCCGCTGCGCCGCCTCCCTCAACTCCGCTTGTAGGCAATCCGCTACCGTTGAAATGGATGATTGACAAGCTGTGTAACGCGGCTGCGTGGCCCGCCTTTGCCGCTTGCACAAGCCGCTTCATGCCGCTAGCTACCCGCTCCAAGCAGTAAAACTCGACCATACCGAAGAGAAATGCAGCCTCCGCGTTTCCCGCCGCTGCGCATGCCGACAGAAACGAGCGATAGGCGAGCGTGTAGTTTTTCGCCGGGCAAGCGAGAGCGGGAGGTGGTAAAACGGCGAGGATTTCTGGGAGGAGTGAGATGCGGCGAAGGTGGGAGGAAGCGAGGCGACAGGAGAGGAAGTCTTGGGGAGTTGAGGCGCGTGCGGCGACCATGGAGAGAATGGTCGCGAGGAGTTCATCCTGAGCGGAGAGGGAAGCAAGGGGACAGATGTTGGTACAGGGAGTGAGCCTGCAAGAATGCAGAGAGTTTGACATTTGCGTGGAGTTAAAACAAGAATCATGAAGAAAGAAGAGCGCTGGACGAGACGAAAGCAGTGAGGTTCTGTAGGGAAACGTACTGGAAGGTTTTCGAATGAAGGAGGGGTGAGTGCAGGAGAAGTGGCTTTCTCCTTCCGCGCTCGCTTCATTGTTGCCAATTCCTCAGGATGAACGAGTGAGAATCGTTTGCAGCCCATGGTGGGTGGCTCGTCGTGAGTCTGTTCTATGTGCAGTGAAAAAATGGAGATAGCCCTATGCCGAATAATAATAGCAGGGCAAAATCGAGCCTGACTAGCATTTGTCAGTCGGGATTGAGGATGAACTTCGTGAACTGCTTGACCTCCAACTCAGAACGTCAATTTCGGTGCTTGTCTGCAGTGCAGAATAATGTCAAAAGAAGCGGAACGCGTTTCTTTGTTTCGCCCCGTTTTGTTCTGACTTCGGGAGGGGTCGGATGGGAGAGGGATGGACGAAACGCACAGCGCCGATGGCGGGAGGCCGGTGATGACGGTGCGGCGAATCAGCAGCAGCAACTGCTACTGTCAATACAGTAACGGAACGCGCAGAGCAAACACGCGATTTGGGGCAGCGAACAAGCTGTAAGCCTCATTGGTCACGGAAATCGGTTAGCTTGGAACGCGATTTGTGGAAGTTTTTTTTGCCCAAAATTGGGAGGGAAGGCCCGTGAGTGGCTGGAGATTCGTGGAACGCGAATAACTTGAGGCCTGACCGACGTCTGCATCCAGTTTGACGAGCCCGCAAAACGAAAGTTGATGTGTGGGTTCGATTTTCCCCAAAGCCGCGCAGCCCTGTAAACGCGAACCAGAAGGAAACGGAACCCTGCTGGTGCGCATTCAGGCCGACATCTAGAGCGCGGCTAACGTGGAGCCAGTTTGGTATGGTACTAGTCTGACCTGGGCAGTGGGTAGGCATTCTTCCAAATTCCACAACCTCCCCAAGGTGAGGTGGCTTGTCCAATCAAGACCAACAGCCGACGTGTTCAAGCAGCCGGTGACCCGTCACGGAGCAGCGCCAAAAACAAAGAAAATTACATCAATTTCAGCTGGATAACTTTAGAACACTGAAAGCCTGTACCAGAACATATGCATTCCATATATATTCCACTTCTATAACATTCCCTTGGCAGGGCATACGGTACCAATGTGAGGCCTTCCGCAGCAACATGCAATCACAAATGTACTGAATGTAAAATTATGTTAGTTACATCGTGTACCTAAGAACCACTAATCATATTCTGGATGTCTACCGAATACACTGCATATTACTCTACTATGGCACGCAAGCTTCCGAAGCGACTCCCTGCCCTGACATTCACTACCAGCGGAACATCCAAGCATGCAACCTTCTCCATCATCTGCTTGACCGCTTTATAGACTTCAAATACATCCTCTTCTGGGACTTCTAGCACTAGCTCGTCATGAACCTGTAGGATACGTAGAGTAAGAAAGATTAACTGACCTTGCAAACAGGCAGCAGGACTTACTTACCTGCATCACGATTTGGATACTGTTGTTTCCCTGTACAAGCTTGCTGGCATCCAGCATGGCCAACTTCATCAGGTCTCTGCCCAACAACAATAAGCAGTCCAGGGTAAGGTAAGTGGTCAAGCATGATGTACAAACGAGTGTGATACTTAAAAGAATGATGGTTCTTACGCTGCCGAGCCTTGTATAATAGTATTCACTGCCTGCCTTTCTGCTTGAGCCCTCCTCTCTGGATTCCGCTCGTGTATGTCTGAAACAGAAATACACTAAAGATACAACTTTGACATGGTTGCAAAAGAACAGTGAACAATGAATTACCTGGAAGTAGCCTGCGGTGGCCCCACATGGTTGTGACATATCCATCCCGCCGGGCTCTGCTTATAGTTTGATTGATAAAAGCCCTCATACTTGGGAAGTGATCTAAAAAGCTTTGCAAAAGTTGTTGAGCCTTGTCAACATCCACTCCCAGAATGGAGGCCATGGATTGCTTCCCTTGCCCATAAAGAATACCATCTGCACCATTCGTTGAAAATTTTCAACATTAGAACGAAAGAATGAAAGAAACAAGAAGAAAGACAAACAAACACACAATGAACAGCCTCACTCACAGCACAATCTTTTCACCAGTTGCCGCTCCTGATCATTTACTCCATCTGCAGACTTTCCCAGATACGCTGCTCCAATGAGTTTGAAAACATCACTTAGCTGTCCAGCTTTAAAGACATTAACCTGCACAAGACACGGAAAAAAAATCTATCTTGCTGGAGCAGGAAAAAACAGGACTCTTTGGAAGATGGAGGTGTGACTCGTGAGTGAAAGAAGGGAGAACCATACCAGAGCCTCATCAGCAGATAAGTGAGCAAAGATACGAAGCTCTATTTGCGAATAATCAGCAGAAACCAGGACCTTCCTGCATGTCAAGCAGACAAAGCTTCAAGACCGAGAATGTGTACTCCTTCACTCTAAAGAACCGCCAAAGTAATGGGAGCGATGATGAACTACGAGAAGAGCAGGGACAAGGTGCGGGGATTTGCAGCCGGTGCAGGAAAAACAAGAGGAGTAAATGTGCAACCAACCCCGGTGCAGACATCAAAGCATCACGAATGGCGATAGCAACTGTTGAAGTGTTTGTTGCTGCAGATGTTCCTTCTAGGGCGTATGTAGGCAGGTTCTGTTCAAACAGCAATGTGAATTCGTCAAACAAACAATAAAAAAATAGCTGCTGGTTATGTGTAAATCAAACCTGTAAATTAGGACTGGAAGATGACAACCGTCCTGTTGCCGTGTTTGCAGCATTCCACTCTGAGTGAATCCTAGCAGACCCATCCTGAAAACACTGGAAAACTGAGCAACCTGCTCCAGCTGCATCGCATGCGAAATTGAAAGGAATACTGTTTCGCTGCAGGAACTTGATAGAAGACCATCAATCCACGTTGACTTGACCTTCATGAGTTGCCTGAACTGGAACCCACAAACGTTTGATACAATAAGCCTGGGCTTTTGAGCAATGTTGCTTCTTTAGTGTAAAAGGAACTCACCTCTAAAACGATACTGGGGAACTGATGAAATGAAGCGAGTTGACTTAGTGTTGCCTCATTTGTAGTCGAGTGGGTCTGTGCCTCTCGCTTCTTGGCCATACCAACACTCTTCACTGCTCCTACTGGCAACTTCAAGTCCTGCAGTCCTCATAAGCTGAAGTTTTGTCCAGAATACCATATTTCAACTTTACCAAAATGCATCTCATACCTCATACAAGGCTTGAGCCACTTGCTTTGGACTAGCCAAGTTGATCCGACGGCCAACCAACTTTTCACCAATTGACGTAAGATGCTCCATCCGTTTCTGTAGCAAGCACAAAATTAGCATGATGAGTAAGCGGTCACAAACGGTGCAACAATCTCAGGTTTATGTGTCACACCTCCAAGTAGTCCCGTTTCGACATTAGTAAGTCCATCTGCGTGAAAACGACTCCATGTTAGGCTACAGATGTAAAAACACGTCGTGAAGTCTTGAATATAACGAGTCATGCACTTACGTCAACCCGAACGCCAGCAATCTCCATTTGCGCGAGAACAGGAAGAAGTCTCATGTTGACCCTGCAGCACCCAAGGGTATGATAACAGGGTAAAGACAAGAATAATAAAATGCTTTGTTGAGTCATACCTGAATACATCACGAAGGGGTCCATTCGCCCTTGCGACCAAGGCCGCATGAACATCATTACAGAGGTTGAGGCTGGTGTGAACAGACCGAAGATGAGCACTTCCTTTAGACTTAATTTCCAGGACATCTTTCCCTTTAGCTTCTTCTTTCGCTTTTCCAATCAATTGCTCCAGGTTTTCACCTAGTTGCCTGAATGGTTAAATAACAACTTCTTGAGTTTTCAACATAAAGTCTAACAGAAAGAAGGGGTTTCAGAATCGCTGGCAAGCTTACCATGCGAGAATCTTCTCAAGAGAATTGATGACAGAGAAATATTTATCATTTCGCAAATGTTAGTGACCCGTAAGAGCATAGAAGGAATCATTGTACACTAATTTTACTCACTTTGGGGTCAATAAACATGTCGTACAGATCCATCACTGCAGAAACACACACACACACACACACACACACACACACGCACACACACACACACACACACACACACACACGCACACACACACATACACACACACACATAATCATGTGCCTCCTATGTATATGCAAAGAAGATGCTATCTCTGTGTTTATAATCAAGAATGATGAGCTCACCTGGAACGTTCCACTGTAAAAGAGATTTGATGAATCTTTGTGAGTCACAACAGATAATAGCATCTGCAGAAACTATAGCTGCCCGAATTGCTTCTCTGAAATCATACATACCCTTGTCAGTTTGTGCAGCAAAGACAATCTCAGCCTTCAATCGACAAGTTACCTGAACTCCTCATGAGTTGCGTTGCTGGTGGGTAGAACATCAACATTTACTCCTGGCAATAGAATGACTCTCAACTTAGGTTGACCAATCCGATGAACTACAACTCCAAGGATGCTGAGGTCTTCAATTGAGGAAAGGTACACACCATTTGCCGCCCAATCTCGTTTCTGCACAGCCACTGAGGATGTGAAGGGTGTGATTTAGGCGAGCAAGAAAGATTGCTCGTGTGAACGCACCTTGGAAGGAAGTTGCAGATCCAGCGAGACATAAAGCTGACTCCGCTCATCATCAAAGAACAGCAGGGAGACAACAAGAGGTGCTGTGCTGTTCAAAGTTCTCCACTCGCCACAAGAGACGCTTCTGCGTGCTCCCAGGTCTGCATTCATGCAGCCACCACACTCCAAAGGCTTCACTTGCAGGTCACCGAACAATTCTTCAATGATGTTCTTCTTTGGCGATGAAGAAGACGGTGCTTCCCACTCATTAGGCACTGAACTCTTTTTACGAACTGTAGTAAAATCGGGCTCCAATCCGCACTGTTGTGGGATGCATGCTTGCCCTGACCCAACCTTTTCAATATCTGGAGAAAATATTGCGCTCACTTTAGCAGGGACGTAAGGCGGTGGTGAACCCGATTTTTCAGCACCAGAGAACAGGTCAGAGGAGCTCGACAGTAAGTTAGAAAAGCTCCCTTCCAATTTCCGCACGCCGCCAGTAGGATTTGTGCACAGAGAGTGACCATGATCACGTCTGTCAATTGTCGACGATGTCTTCATAACAGGGAGTGCCTCAGAGGCACTCTCTTCAAAAGCCGAGAGGCCACTCTGGTCGATCTTGGATCCAGCTTCTGCACATCTCGCTTCCAAAAGATGGTGTCTGCTCCTTCTGACATCGCGATCCAAGAACAGCGAGCTCGAACTTCCAGGACCCGGAAAGTAAGGTGGCGACGGAACAGGTTCACTAGCTCCAGAGAGCAACTCGAACGAACTTGGTAGCAAGTCTGAAGTGTACTTTCTATCCACCTCCCATGCAGCTTCAGTGGCGGTGGTGCGTAAGCTTGAGAAACCAACTTGTTTGGTTGGCACCGGCGCTGGCTTAACAACAAAGAAACTCTCGCACAAGTTACGCTCATTAGAATCTGATGCAACGTCCGGTATTTTCGTTTCCAGAAACTTCTGACAAGAGGATGCAACGTCTGGTATTTTCGTTTCCAGAAACGTCTGACAAGAGCTTCCGACGCCGCCATGCAAGGACGCGTTCAGGCTTCCACGACGGGAACCCTGAAATGAGAAAATACGTTACCGCATGAGTGTAGCAGAACATCTTGTGAAAATGCTCACGGTATCCTACCTTTCGTCGGGACTGTTTCATGAAAGCCATGACTTCCTGCTCATAAAAATGGCTGGCAATGTCAGGTCCTCTAACCCTATAAATACAGCCTCCGAAATGACAAGACAGACCTCAACTGACGGCGGTTTTCTTGAGGGTTTCAACAGATACATGACGATCAAACACACTGCCAACGTCAGGAGCAAGTAGGAAAAGCTAGCCGTGTCTCACTACTTGGCTGCTGTGGCAGAACAGCACCGATGAAGAACCTCGACACAAGTCTGCCTTGGGAGTTCACTGTGGTCGAATGAGCAGTGAATTCAAACACGAAAGATTACTCTCTAAATCCAGCAAATGAGAAACTGAGAAGACCCTAATATTGGAATTCATGAACTTGGACTGGGTTTGGTCAACCTTTTGCTCCAAACATTCGATCAAACCTGACAGAGGAAAAACATTTTGGACGAGGTGGTGGGGAAACCTCTGACGAACTGCAAACCAGTCACTCCCAGACATTTGTGTACTTCTAGTCTGAAGACATTTTTACCAGCTGATATCCAATTTCCGTGTTTTTCCTAGTGATGGGAGTAATGGCGGCGATTGCTTCTCTTCAGCCCTCTGCTACGGTGCCTAGTACCCCACCCGATTCAGCGGTTTCGAAATCATGCGACGTTTCTGAGTTAGTCGAGGTTCAGGAGCTTCGCGGGCATGACGATCGCGTGTGGAGCGTCTCATGGTCGCCAGACGGAGCGCTACTGGCCTCCTGTAGCGGCGACCGTTGTGTCCGTATTTGGGGTCGAGAAGCCGGAACGTCATCTTCTTTCATCTGCAAGGTTGTAAAAATCCCGAAACCGAGTCTTTACTATCTCTTTTTTCGAAATTCGCCCCAGCATCCATCCCGCGACTTTAGCAGCTGTTTATCTCTCTCAGTACCGATTCGTGGTTGGTTTCTTTCTAAACAGGCAATTCTGGAAGACACGCACTCCAGAACAATTAGATCCTGCGAGTGGTCGCCAGACGGAAGGTTCCTCGCAACAGCCAGCTTCGACAACACGGTGGCTGTTTGGGAAAGGACCGGGTCCAACGATGCCGACTTTGAGTGTCTCGCTGTTCTCGAGGTCAGCTCATTATCCTTCTTCTCTTTCCTGCATGTGCATGTTCAGAATTCCTGAACTTAAAGGGACTCCCATTGCTATCCGAATGCTGAAAGACATCCGGATACGCCACATACACTATCCTCTTTCTTTTCCGAGTAAGCGACACTAATTGTAGCGCAAATCCTTACCTATCCACGCGTTCTTGGATTTAACCCCCTCTCCCGCTCAACTTGCCCTCTCATTTGCCTTGAGCGCGGTCTATCAATCCGCATTATACACCTCTGACAGTCTTCACCAGCCCCTTCCCCCATTCTAGCTTCCAGTCTCCACCCTTCCTCGCACCCCCGCCTTCCCCCCGACCCACCCATGATTGAAGGGCCACGAGAGCGAGGTGAAGTCCGTGGCATGGAACGCCACCAGCTCCCTGCTAGCCACCTGCAGCCGGGACAAGAGCGTGTGGATCTGGGAGGTGCCAGGTGGCAGCAGCGGAGTGGCTGGACGGACCGGTGTGGGCCCGGCGGCTGACTTTGACTGTGTGGCGGTGCTGCATGGGCACACACAGGACGTGAAGATGGTGCGCTGGCACCCCACGCATGACTGGCTCGTGTCTGCCAGCTATGACGACAGCATAAAGGTGAAGGGAGGTTGCACCTATTCTTACTGTGAATTTGCTGAAGAAAGTGCTTGGTGCTGGGTGGTATTTACGTCTTCCTTGCGGTTGTTGACATTTGAGCTTTGCGCGTTGTTCCATGCGCTCGTTGCTCGTTTCTGATCCAATGCTTGTGGCAGGTGTGGGCTGCAGAGGTGGAGGGCGAAGACGATTGGTCGTGCGTGCAGACCCTTGATGCTGCAAATGGGTGAGTGTAGAATCAGTATGCCAGTGTCGGCAGCTACATCAGCAATGACTACATATTGGGGGATGGAAAAGTTAGTTCTTGATTCGCTCGAGATCATCTTTTCACAAACATCACCTTCCTGTCATTTTCTCTGTGTCCAGGGCAGGGCATTCGTCCACAGTCTGGGCTATTTCCTTTGATGCTACAGGACACTACATGGCATCCTGCAGGTACCCAGCTTTGCCATACTCTCCTTGCCATACCCAGTTTTTTCCGTCCACCCTCGTCCATCCTTGTTTCCCATCCCATGCGCTACCTGCCCTGAGTTCATTCCCATGCGTTCCTTGCCCTTATTCTTTCCCTGTACACCCTCGCTTGCCCATTGCTCTGCCTTTCAAGCATGACTTCCCATCACTCTCCCTCCCTTCAACCCTCTCCTGCGTATTTCTGTGTTCGGGTCCCGTCTTACCACCCTGCAGTGATGATCTGACCGTCAAAATCTGGGATACAGGCCGGGAGCCATCGGATGTGAGGACCTCAGAAGGGAGTTCAGGGAGCAAGCCTTCAGCAAGGGGATGGTATGGTTGGACGCACAACCTAAAAGCGCATCTATGCAGACAAACTTTGCCACTTGATGGTTTTTATGGCATCTGGTATCATGGCATTGGCCTAGCAGCGAAAACAAAAAAAACCTTTTTCGTTGTTTTTTTTTTTCCTTTATTTCCTTTTTCTTTCACCCGTCATCCCTAGACCCTGACTTGAACAATCATGTGCATGTGTTTATTGGGTTGACAGGTCGCATGTGTGCACACTTTCGGGCTTCCATGACCGCACCATCTTCCACGTTGACTGGTCGATGTAAGCCGCTTACGTCTGACACTTGCACTCCCATTCGCACTGACCGTTCACACAGTACTGCTGGAGAGGGGCTTGGCTGAAATCACCATATCAGAATGATGCAAGCATGTTTAATCCTTGGCACGAAAAGTGATACGCATGGGCATGTGCATGCATATTTCAACTCTTGCAGCTGTGTGGTGTACCTGTTCCTGTTCACCCTCATTGATTTTGCAGGGCTCATGGGTTGATTGCCACAGCAGCAGGAGATGACTGCATACGAGTCTTCTCTTTCTCCGGTCTCCCGCGTTCAGAACCCGATGGTGACAGAACCAGCTTCGATGCTGCTGATAGAGAGGGGAATGGCGAGGAGGCGGAGGTGGGAGGGGTGGCAGGGGTGATAGGGATTGGAGAGGAGGCGGGAAGCAGGGCCCAACTGTTGATTCGAAAGGCGCATGCACATGGCACAGATGTGAACTGCGTGAGATGGAACCCCAAGGTGAATTGCCCGTTCCAGCTTGTAGTACTTTCGCCCAGCCCACTTCTTTTGTCCACTGCTTTTCCAGTCAACTCCATACGCCTGACACATGCAATACGTACAAGAATACTTCTGTTCTTGCTTCCACTTGCGAATCAACTTACAATCACCCCTCCCCCACATTTTCCTCCCTGTGTGGCAGAATCCCCGGCTGCTGGCATCAGCGGGAGATGATGAGATGGTGAAGATCTGGGAGCTTCGAGGGCTGGCAGGCAGTGGGTAGATGGGGCGCGATGCAGTGTAGTGAGGTGATTGTTTTTGTTCTTATAAAAAGACCCTCATGAGGGCAAATGCGAAATTATATCCCTCGTGGAGCAGGGTATTAGCATATAGATACTAGTAAAGCTAACAGCGCAGAGTATGGCAAAGCAGGGCACATACTAAGGCTGGGGAAGGATGCTTATAGATTGCCCTAAGCTGAGCGCTAGCAGGAAAGCAAGTGATGCAGTTGACGGCGATGCTGAGTCCGAAATGTTCCATAGATGCTCAATAACGAGGATGCAGTGTCTAGTAGCTCCCCGTCGTCACAATCTTCATAGCCGGACCATGTGTTGATCAGCTCGTTGCAGCTGCCGCGGATATCAGTCGGTTGCCTCCTTGGAGTAAACTCCTCAGGCTCTCCAGCATTGCT